AGTCGCGAATCCACTCTTGTCGAGAAGCGCGAAGGCTTCGGCGAGTGACGCGGGCGGGCTCAACAGGCTCTCCGAACGACGCGGTAGTCGACTCCATTAGAGTGGCAGCCGCTTCATTGGACGAGCGAGGCGCGAGATCATCCAAAGACAATCTGGCAAAGGACGCAATAAGTGCGCCCACCCGCTCGTCCTCGACGACCACCACTCCTCCGGAGCCCGCAGCGGAAGCCAATGAGGCAGTGTTGAACTGCTCAAGGGATGTCACGACGGTGACTCCCCTTGGCTCCGCCACGGTTGGTTCCGCAGGCGGCTCAAAGGTGCGCTCTTCCGCGGCAGGAGTCGGGAGTGAGACTCTCTCTGTGATTGCCGATGTCTCAATGTTGGTGGCGCCCGACTCCTGCGCGGGACGCGGTGCCAGGGCTGCCTCGGTCTCATCCTCCGACGTCCAGGATGGCGTCTTCGACCTCTCAGAGAGAGGCGAGCCGACACTACTTAGCTCGTCGATGAAGGATTCGAGACACGAGGCAGCCCTGATACCCCGGGGATTCGGACCATCAAAACAATCGATCTCCTGGGACTTCTTGGGGGATTGGGGGACCATAGGGGGGTGAGAAACACAGGGAATGTACTCACGATCAGGGTTTTCGTTCTCAGATACTGCGGGTGTTGGGTCGACAATTTTCGGGTCCTCCCTGGGGGTAGTCATCTCTGCAGCCGTAGTATCTGTGGCGAGATCTTCGTCTGTATGGGTGGGCTGCGTATCTTCGTCTGAAACGGGCTTGTCGGTTTTGCGTGTCGACTGGCGCGTCGTGCGCTTCGTTGTAGTAGCTTTCCGTGTCTGGGTCTTGGTTGTGGGCTTCTTGGTGGTAGTGGTATTCGTCTTCTTAGGTGCGCGCTGAGACTTTGCACGGGTCGGGGGTTGCTCTGACGTTGCGGGTTCCTGGTGCGCAGCATTCCTCGCAGACCTGGTTCGACGTGGGGCATTTTCCTCGAGTGACACGAAGCCACCGGGCGAAGCTTGCTGTGAACGAGTACGCATCTTGACTGTGATGAAGGTGAAAGCAGAAAGGTGTTCAATTCAGGCTGGTGAAATCCACCAATCCGAGACAAAGCCACAAGAAACTGAGTGACTAGAAGGGTGCGGGTAATGAGAAGAGGTAAGACAGGAACGTAATGTAAGAAACCTTTACAAAAAGGTGTGAGGACAGGTCGAAATATGGAGATTCATCTACCCTATAGGTTGCCGTAATCTTGATGCGACGCGGTACCTTGATCGGAAGGTATGAGAAGAAAGATCGTCTCGCTTAGTCGCGATTTGAGATCTTGCAAGAACGCGGAGCAAAGGGACGTTATGGAGGAGAGTTAAATCTAACTTGTAAGGCAAGTTAGCACCTGCGAGAGAAGATAATCCAGTGGGATAAAGGATCGTGCAAATGAGAGATCGAAGGAATGTAAATCGGTAGCGCAAGTGCGATATCGACGAGGATACGGAGGGATGGGAATTATGAAGGGGAAGAGAGTAAGAGGGGGGAAGAGACAGGTTGATAAAAGCAATACTGACTTGTTGAGAAACATAACACTGGCTTACAGTGAATGTTACCTCGTGTTGCTGGGTAATGTTGGTTATGACGCGTCAAATCAGCGCCCGGAGGCAGTCGACGATATTCACTTACCTCGGCGAGCAAGGTCGTGGTATAGAAAGATGAAGTTTGGGGGAACTTTTGCGCGGGAATTTTGCGACTCGGGGGGTGACGTCTCGGCAGAACACCAGGCGGTGAGGATTTCGCCCAATGACTGCTGTTGCCGCCCTTGGCCAACTTCAAGAGTACTCGGTACTACTAGTAGGCTGTAGTAACACCCTGCTACTCCTACAACTACTTGTATCGTCTGAATGGGAACGATAAGATCGATAATAAACGAGTATAAAGGCCGGTGAGGCACTTCAGGGTTTGGCGCAAGAAGGATCACAAAAGACATACAACAGACGTTTTTACAGCGCATCACACAACAGAAGTGGTGAAGTATGAACAATGGGCATGAAATACCCACAGGTTCTTTGTCATAGACACTATAAAATAGGAAGGGCCCATTGATCGATACATAAGGTTACACGCTGAGATTAAGCTTAAGCAGGGGAAATACAAAGAAAAGAAAATATGTAGAATACAAGCGCCAAAGAGCTAATTTACATGGAGATCTCACCCTTCCAGGCAGCTTCCGAGAGACCCAGCTTCTCCATCAGATTCTGCCACCTGGGGCCACCCCTCTCCTTCCTCCGCAAGTAGCGAAGCAACTTCTGTCTCTTGTGAACAAGTAGACGCAGGTTACGCTTGTTGTGTCGGTCCTTTTTCGTCGTCTGGAGATGTCTAGACAAGTTCATGATCTTTGCCGTGAGAATGGCAACCTGCACTTCCGGAGAGCCAGTATCCGGGCCAACCCGGGGAGTTTTCTCAAGATGAACAGTCGCAGAGTCATGCGATACGCCAGAAGGCTTGGGAGGCAATTCGCTGTCGGTCTTATGCCGGCCAAAGGTCTCAATGCATTTCTGAATATGAAGACGCATGTGGTCCTTCGTGTTTCCGTTGGCGACACTGACAATACGACGGATGGCTTCCTGTGCATTCCGATGTTCTTGAAGGTGCTTTTCGGCGGCTTCTTTCTCGAGCTGAGGATCAGCAGTGTCGCGATCCGGGTTCCGAATCGGTGATGTCAGGTTCTTCGAGTATTCCAACGCCTCATTGAGACCATCCGGTGTGACGAAGTAATTAAGGTCTGTGTCCTGCAAAGTCGCCTGCGTCTTTCTAAGTTCCTGGATGAAGGGCGTCGGTTCACTTTGGACGGGGTCGCCGACAGACCCTTCGCGCTCTTTAGCCAGGGCTTTCTGGCGAGAGATGTTGGCGGCCTTGCGTTGGCGAGACTGCGCCATTAGGAAAGGGTCATGGCGTCTGCGCTCTCGGGTCTCTGTAGACCCAGCTCTCACGGAGGTTTTGGCCGGGTTGAGCGACAATGCGGCAAAGGGAAGCTGCACGGAGGAAGGGCCTGGAATAACGACAACCCGGTCAGTTACTCGGCGTGAGTCGGAAGGGGGAGGCAGCAAGACAGTACTAACCAGTGATGGCCCTCAGGGAGGGCTGAAGTAGAATGCGGGGAGGCATTCTCACGAGCTGGGGAGGGAGTGACCGCAACGATTAACAAATAGGACTTCCGGACGCCTTCGCATCAAAGGCCGCGGACTCAGATTGGAAGTCTCCAAAATCTCGAGGCCCCGAATTGCGCTAGTCCGCATCGGGACCTGGAGTTGCACGTGATATCCCGGGCGGATCGGAGGCTCTTCCAAGGTAACCCTAGCCCTAAAATTCACAAAGGGCAAGCGAAATTCATCGACCATCTCAAGCGCGGTGCCAAAAGTTCAGCTTCGCGTTCGTCTCCCCGTCACCACCACCACGACAAGTGCCAGACGATTGATATACTCAAATCGATCTTTGCAATATCAATCGCCCACCATGGCCCCCTCTCAGCTCCCCCCGATCTTCAACCCCACCTCCCAGGACATTGAGATGCTCCTCGCAGCTCAGTGCCACCTCGGGTCCAAGAACCTCCAGTCTCACATGGAGCCTTACCTCTGGAAGACTCGCCCCGACGGTGTCAATGTCATCAACATTGGCAAGACCTGGTATGTTTGTCAGGCAATCTAATGCGCGCATGTTATCCAGAATCGTTGCCTAACGCCGCGCGAACTTGTAGGGAGAAGATCCTCCTCGCTGCCCGTATCATCGCCGCCATCGACAACCCGGCCGACATCTGTGTCATCTCCGCTCGTCCCTACGGCCAGCGTGCTGTCCTGAAGTTCGCCTCCCACACCGGTGCTACCGCCATTGCTGGTCGTTTCACCCCCGGTAACTTCACCAACTACATCACCCGCTCTTTCAAGGAGCCCCGCCTGATCATCGTCACCGACCCTCGCACCGACGCCCAGGCCATCAAGGAGGCCAGCTACGTCAACATCCCCGTCATTGCCCTTTGCGACACTGACTCCCCCACCGACTTTGTCGACGTTGCCATCCCCACCAACAACAAGGGTCGCCACGCCATCGGTCTCGTCTGGTGGCTCCTTGCCCGTGAGGTCCTCCGCCTCCGTGGTACCCTCGCTTCCCGTGAGGTTGACTGGGACGTCGTTGTCGACCTGTACTTCTACCGTGACCCCGAGGCTGAGGAGAACAAGGAGGTCGTCGAGGAGAAGGTTGCCAGCGCTGAGGAGGTCGGTGCTGGTGCCATCGAGTCCGGCTTCGCTGGTGACAACTGGGATGTTGCCGGTGCCGGTGCCGGTGTTCCTGGCACTGCTTTCGCTGCTGCTAGCGCTGCTGCTGGTGCTGCCAGCTGGGAGGCCGAGGGTGGCGACTGGGCTGCCAGCTCTGCCGCTCCTGCTGGTGAGAGCTGGGCTGAGGCCCAGCCCACCGAGGCTAAGTGGTAAACATCTGGACTTCGCAACGAGGATTGACGAAACAATGGCGATTGGTTGAGGGTGACGAGGACCCCTTAATCATCAAGGAACGTCTTTCCGGCGGTTCCTTGCAATGGAAGAACAAAAAATCCCTTGTCGTGTCTATCCTAGTCTCAGTTCAGGTATTTCCAAAAAAAGACAAAGAAGAAAAAAGAGGAAAAGAATCAACGGGAGCTTCACTACTTCAAAACATCATCTTCCTACTTCTTCTTTCGTGGTATGCTACAGCGAAGTCTCCTTCTGCAGTCCGTTTTCACGTTCCGCTTATGGTGCATCGGGGAGGAATTGCATTGTCAATGATTGACTGGCGCTTATGAGGGAAAGATATCCAGTTGTTCTCTTGCCTCAGTGAGCTTCTGGGGGAAAGCCCTGTGCTGTCAATTTCACAAGGTGGACTTAATCGTTACCTTGGTTTCTCCCTGTATGTTTATCATAGCCGTAATTGAAAAGTGATGCTAGCTACCATTGTTCTCCATGTATAAGTGTGGTCTCTAGTAGTCAACAGTAGGCGTAGGTCAGAAAGAAAGCGTAGAAGCCCATGCTGATGCCTGTGGTGCCAATCTCATCACGTATCACCCAAGACGATAGGAACGGTTAGGCATTAAGTGCCATTCTTCTAAGCCAACTAATTGGACTAAACCTATCACATATCTATACCATATGGATCCACCGTATCAATAAGGGTATCAAATATACTAAAGAATAACACAAGCGCCGGCAGTTTGGCCTCCAGCCGCCGTAGTCGTCATTCCAGCAAGTCGCGCAATATCTTCAAACGTCTCTCGTAAGAGTTCCCCAGTGACAGCAGAGCACTCCGCATACCGATCACATCGAAGCTCCTGCGCAATCCGATACGACTATGTATCAGTTAGCTCCGATCCTGCGTACAGCACAATAGACTTGGAACAATCGAGCCCGATGATTGAGAGGGTCTACTCACCTCTTGAGGATATATAATCCCCTCACATTCCACTCTAAGATCTCTCTTCAACCCTATCAACATAATGGGTATGCGTTCACCATATCCGTTTTGGAAGTACCTGGTGATATCATTTCGCCACTACAGCATGTAAGTCAGCAGTGATAGTCACCACAACATGTCAAACATGGAGTGTGTCCTACATTGCGAAGATTATTCAAGGTATCTCTATTCGAGATATCAAATGCCAGAAGTATAACATCAGGCTGCAAGGTAGACCAATGTTGGTTGGGACTTGCGGTGTCATATACTTCAAGTTTAAATGACTTCTTTGAGAAGCGGATTTCGTAGATAAATGGCTGGTCACTGTCCCGTAGAAGGGCTTCCTCAATATTCCCTTGACTAGGTGTCTGTCCTTGGTGTCTACGAAGATTGGACTTCAAGCTCCTGATAGGTTGTTAGTAAATGAAAGAACTATGAGGAATAGGCAGCGCATGCTACAAGGCTGTTGCACTTACGATAGAAATGTTGTTTTACCACATCCCGGGTCTCCGAGGAGCAGAATAGTCACTGTCTGTTCGTCCTGCGGGAGGTTATTTCCTGCCATTGGACGAGGTCTTCTGGGATAATTCGATCCCTATGTTAGATATAATGAGGTATTGTCGTGTGGGATCAGAACTATCGAGGGTGATCATGTGCCTATAGTTGCTTGGAGTGCCAACACAGGGTTTGATGGACTATAATACTCCCAGCAATGTTCATGATAACGTGCGGATGGATATAAACTGAGCGGAACCAGACCGCAACCATGAGCTCTGCCTTTCCAATTCAGTCCCCATTAGCCTCCTTTCGACAGTGGATGTCTCCGATAAAACAAGAAACTCTGACTTTTCTTATGCAAATGACGGATACTCCGACCATGAAAGTCATGTTAACTGCCGTATTACCATGCAATACAAAGGATACCTCATAAAGCCTGCCACGACCACACATGTAACAATACCATACCCTCCCATTACACGATCACCACCAATAGTACTATCAGAAGTCTAAATTTTTGCCGCAAAAATCTCCCCTCCGCGGCAACCCAGCAGCGTGGGACACACACACAACGTGCTCATAGGGATGCGAAGGTTCCAAGGAAACCTTTGTTCTTTCTTGAGTCGCACATCAGCTCAGCGTACACCCTCAACAACGAGGCGCACATTTCAGTCCCTGTCCCGCTCGCACGCCCAAGTCGATTCCCAACCTACAAGTACCATGTCCGGGAACATGGCCCAGGACCAACAAGTCCCTACCAACGAAGCCGACTACTCGACATGGACTACGTCGAGACTCGTCGCCCGAATCACTGAATTAGAACGCCAGTTACACTCCCGCACCGCGGAGTATGCTACAACCCCTGCGAAGCAGCCCGAGGACGCGGCCGAAGACGCAGCCAAGAGTGCACCTAGTGATGGGAAAGTGAACCAGAAGGAGCCTTCATCTCCGGCGGCGGGAGCAGAGAAGAAGAAGCAGGTGAAGCCGCCAAAGCCCCCGAAACCGCGCAGGGAGATCGATCCTTCGAGATATAATACACGGTTCATCGCGTTGAAGTTCGCCTATCTTGGACAGCGGTACAATGGGCTTGAGCATGCGAATGGGAATGCCACGCCGCTACCTACGATTGAGGAGGAGATGTACAAGGCTTTACGGAAGACCCGGTTGATTTTCCCGACCGATACAACTGGTGATGAGTTTGTGGAGAGCTATGCGCCGAGAGAGACGAAGCCGTACTATATCAATTGGGATGGATGTGAATATTCCAAAGCTGGGCGTACGGATCGAGGAGTTAGTGCTTTTGGGCAGGTAATTGGCATTAGAGTGCGGAGTGCACGGCCGAAGCGCAACGAGGTCGTTCAGTCGGACGAGAATGCCGATACTACCATGCAGAATACGGACGAGGCCAATGCGTCGGCCGACGATGGCTGGGATGACGTTAAAGATGAGCTACCCTACGTGAGCATGTTGAACAAGGTGCTTCCTGAAGATATTCGTGTACTGGCATGGTGCCCACGTCCTCCTGAGGGGTTCGATGCCCGCTTTTCCTGCGGGGAGCGCCATTACAAGTATTTCTTCACGCAGCCAGCCTTTTCTCCTACGCCAGGTGCCTCGGGTTTTGTGCCGCGAGATGGATCAGGCAAGCCTCCGAAGCTGAGAGAGGGTTGGTTGGACATTGAAGCGATGCGCAAAGCTGCGAAGTATTTCGAAGGTACACACGACTTCCGGAACTTCTGTAAATTGGATGTGACGAAACAGATCGAGTCTTTCTACCGAGACATCTTCCGTGCTGACATTGAGCTTCTCGATGCTCGCACCAACCCCCTGGGCTATGTGACTCAGCCAGAATTTCAGGCTAGACCAGCCTCGGGTACGGATGAAAGCGCAGAGTCTTCAGCGGCACCTCTGCCAACAGCAGCGCAGGTATATGTCTTCCATCTGGAGGGTTCTGCTTTCCTGTGGCATCAGGTCCGACACATGGTCAATGTCCTTTTCCTTGTCGGTCAGGGGCTCGAGGAACCCTCCATCGTACAGGATCTCCTTGACGTGACTAAGAACCCGCGAAAGCCAACCTATGAGATGGCTTCCGATGCCCCCTTGGTGCTTTGGGACTGCATCTACCCCGATAAGAAGAGCGGCAGCCGTGCTGATAGCTTGGATTGGGTTTATGCGGGCGACGTTCGACAGATCAAGTCTCACCTCGGCAAGGGAGGTGGCAAGTTTGGTCTTGGAGGAATCGTAGAGGAGCTCTGGTCCGTTTGGAGGCAGCGCAAGATGGAGGAAATCTTGGCTGGCGCATTACTAGACTTGGCCGTCAGTCAGGGCGACAAGAGCCTCACCATTGGTGATGGAGTCGAGCCAATCTGGGAGAGAAAGAACCGGGGTAAGAAAATCTTTGTGGGGTCTAATGAAGCCAGAACCGGTGGGTACTATGTTCCAGTCATGCAGAAGCGAAAGACGGAGCTCGTGGAAGTCCAGAATGCGAGGTGGCTAGCGGCAAAGCAGCGCAAGATGGAGAATGGCGCAAAGGCCACCAAAATGGAACAGTAGACAGAAGATTGTATATACTCACTTCTCGAATATATGTGCAAGATAGCCCACCTCTCAAGCAGAAAGCTATTGATTCCCCTCGAAACGTGAAACTGGGCTTCATTATGACTTCGAATCATACAAACAGCTTCGTGAACCCCTCCAGACCTCCTCTAGTATTTGCCGATTTGGTAACAATTTCTGGCTCGCATTAGAAAACCGAAATGGCAGGTCCTACGGGTAGGTGCTGAATAGGTATAGGTAGGTACTCACAGGGAACACCACAACCACTTCGCTTTCACCTTCGACGATTACTGCAAGGTAGAACCTAACCTCAAATCCCTTGAAAGCTTCATGTATCACGATATCCTGAATCTGTGTAGTGGGTATGAACCTTGTCGAAGCCTTTGACAGGTAGGTCTGGGAGGAGGTAGACGTCTGAATACCGAGACCGCGTATAACCAGGAGCGACTCTTCTGTTTTGGAGCAAAGTGCTGTCAGTATCAAATCTATCCCTTTCCCTGGAAATTTCCTGGGCGAACCTGTGTATCCCTTCCTGAAAACACCGTATAGAACTATTGCGCTGGCCAAAACTACCACCGCAGAGCTGTACGCATCCGCGATGCGACAGACGGATATCCCCAGCGCACTCGACCAGATTGTTGTCCAACGTATCCATGAGCCATCCTCCATAAAAAATGTACGGCGGAACTTCGCAGCATCAAGGAGGAGCACGCAGAAAAAGATGACTGCGCGCAACGATATTTGTAGATAGAAGAAGGCCTTTGCTGGCGTGCTCGTGCGTCTGGAGGCATTGGAAACTGTGAATGAGACGGTCGTCGGAGACGGACGCCGTAAATCAAGGCGACTCGGCATTTGAGGCGAAATTGATGTTCAATTCTCGTAGAAATATCCCATTGATGCGCGCTAATCGAGAGACACGCAGAAGTTTCCAATCATTGGAGCCATAATGTCTGGCATGTAGCTTCGGGACTCTTCTCCCGCGGGATATCGGCGTTCTTCAGTCTAGTCCCCTTACGGCTTAGGTGTCTCTCCTCCATCGTCGGGCCTCTGCGATACGGCGTCACGTGTTTATTGTTGCATCTCCTAATCTTAGACGCTTGTCCTACGCATTGCCCAACTTCGTTGCCTTATCAGTGGCCATTGTAACGTTCCGGGACCAGGCTCCCAGAAGTGTGCTTCGGTGACAAGAGTCGGAATCCCATGGCCGGCCCTCCAAAAGAAGTGAAACATGAGAATCTTGGTATAGATGAGTAGGGATCACAGTCCATGGGTCAAAAACAGGTTAGTCTCTCTCCGCTTCAGAAAGGTCTTTGATGAGAAAGAGTGGGGTTTTAAGGGGTAGCAACAAAACTAAACAGTGCTCAGCAGAACAGTGACAGCTGGCCCACGAAAAAACTACAAACTCTTACTCTCTGTCTTCATCTGCACTTCAACAACCAACTTATACACTACGGACTGACATTAACATACAACCTAGCTAACTTCCAGATTTTACAGTTAGCTTGATAGTTTTGCGGCTGTTCATCCGGTGACCATGTGAGTATGGCCATCCCAAACAAGTAGATCTGTGAGCAAATTCCTCCCGACACTTCAAATGGAGCTCAATCACATACCGAGCTCGAAGCACCTCATAAGGAGATGTGTTGCTGACCATACAATTGACAGGTACTAGTTCCAACAAGCCATTAGACGGCTTCTGTTGTTATGTGAGACTCCAGGCTTCCGGGTTGCCATATCTGGGTATCTCGGCCTGAGCGATGGGAATACGGAGAACTGAATGGAAAATCCAGCCTTTTCTGTTTCCTTGTTGCTTCTGGGATATTTTTCCTATCATATTTAGTTTCCATGTACCTACCGGCAAATGGAGACTACTCATCTTGGTGTAATGCGCCAGCTGCCATCTGTAACGGACAAGGCGAAAGTTGAATACCTTTTTCTTTTCTTTTTTTTTTTTTTTTGCTATCTTTCAATTTTCTTGCAGACAGGGGAAATAACGACTGCGTTGTTTCTCGGCCTACCAAATGTTGACTGCTTGAATGGTGGTGTGCATCACCCCTTCATTCCCTCGCTCGACTATTACTTGAGCATCCCCAGGTTCCAGGAAGGACAAGGCTGGAGAACAAGTCCGGGTCATTTTTAGTGTGGCTGCGGGGCCGTTGAATGCGTCGATGGCGACCAGACATTCCTAGCCCGATAGGGCAAGTTGCAGCCTGAGGCTTATAACGGCAGACACCCGAGGCTGCAGCAACGCCGGTTCCACTCGCGGGAGAGGCATTTTTTTTTTCGGTCGTCTCTATGGCGGACTCACACGACTTCGATCTCTCCGTTTCAATGTCTTCCCCATACATTCGCTTGGACCCCGTTCCTGAATCCCCGCCATGAGGTAGTTGCCTGTCTGTCCTCGCCACGAGATTACTTATTCTTCTTTTGCTATCTCCAAGCTCGTCTTTTATCGTGCTAATCTCACCACTCCTCCCGCCCCTCCAGATCCGCCGTTTTACCAGATTTTCCTTCTTTGTCCCCGCTTCCGAATCGGTCATCCTCTCCTGTGACTCTCTATCCTCCCAGCTTCCCACAGCCTTCCAAGTCTGAAGAACAGTCCAATATGGTCCGGAACATCGTTGTTATCGGGGGCACTTCCCACCCGCAATTGACTCAGACCATCTGCAACGTGTTGGGCATCCCGCCGGCAGATGTTCTGCTGTCGAAATTCTCCGTGGGTGAGACCCGAGTGGAGATCAAGGAGTCTGTCCGTGGAAAGGATGTCTATATCATTCAGTCCGGTGGTGGAAAGGTAAATGATCTCCTCATGGAGCTTCTGATTACCATCTCGGCTTGCAAGACCGCCTCCGCCAAGAGAGTCACTGCGGTCCTCCCGCTTTTCCCGTACTCGCGTCAGAGTGACATTCCCTACAACAAGACCGGAGCTCCTTTGGTCAAGTCATCCCTTGCGGGGAGGCAAGGCAATAACTACACCTTTGAAAGTACCCCGCCTACCCCACTTCCTGGGAAGTCCGAAACTGGAGGTCTTCTGAACGGTCTGAACGGCGTCGATAACCTGCAGAAAAGCCTGGCCAAGGCTCAATTGGAAGATATCAGCAATGGCAGCCCTGTGAAGAAGCAACGCCCGGTCAATGGTCTTCCCCGCAGCGATACCATGGAGTCCCTGCAGTCTGAAGGTAACAGGTTCGCACTCAACGGTGCCGACGAGAAAATCAACAACTTCCAACCCCGCCCCGGCTACAAGCAGTGGGTGGCTCAGGCCGGTACCTTGGTCGCGGACCTGCTCACCTGCGCTGGTGCAGACCACATTATCACCATGGATCTCCATGACCCTCAGTACCAGGGATTCTTCGACATTCCGGTTGACAACCTGTACGGCCGCCCACTCCTCAAGAGCTACATCCAGCGGAACATCCCCAACTACAAGCAGGCCGTGATCGTCAGTCCCGATGCTGGTGGCGCGAAGCGTGCTACGGCGATTGCCGATGGTATGGGTGTAGAATTCGCCCTTATCCACAAGGTTAGTATTCGGCCTACTGACTTCTTTACATGGAGATACTAACCACTTTCAGGAACGTCGTCCTACCCGCATAACGGATCGACAGAACGCTACCATGATGCTGGTGGGAGATGTTAAGGATCGGACGGCGATCCTGATTGACGACCTGGCGGACACGTCGAACACCATTACCCGAGCGGCGAAGCTCCTCAAGAAGGAAGGAGCTGCGCAGGTTTATGCTCTGGTCACCCACGGAATATTGAGTGGAGATGCCATTGATCGGATCAATGCTAGCGCACTCGATAAGGTGGTGGTTACAAACAGCGTTGACCAGGCAGACCACTTGCGCAGATGCCCCAAGTTGGAGGTTTTGGAAGTCGGTCACGTTTTCGCTGAGGTAAGTTCGTCGGAGCTCCAGCCCCTGAAGCATAGCTAACGAACTGTAGGCTATCCGCCGTGTCCACCACGGTGAGAGTATCAGTACTCTTTTCCAGTACGACTAACCAACCAAATCATTGATTTTTTTGCATGCGACTTTTCTTTCCCATGGCAGGGATAGATGACACCTTTTGAAAAAGGAGTGACGAATTGAGGTTATATCTTGATGAATTTTCTTTATATTGTCTTTGACATTTGCTATACTACTTTGGTTTCCATAAGCATACCATCGCATACCATCTATCACTTTTTCTGAAACCTACTCAACGGAGCCTGAGAGGAACGGATAAAGACACGCCCAATGTGTTCCCAATGCACAATTATGACTCCCTGGATCCATCTTCTCATGACTTCGCTCATGATTCACACGTTTAATGCTGTATGAGAATCTCGGGGCTTCGTTGTTCTGACACATCGTGTGTCGCCCTTAATTTTGGGTTTTCCACTTTGGATCGCGACTGTCTGGATGTTTCTGTAGACAGATTAGCTCAGAGCTTAGCACATGTCCATGATCATGGACAAATACATTCGAGAAATGCTGGCTACTCTAGCATCAATGTTGTCTGTTCTTATTCTACTCATAATACCACAACAATAACAACCACAATCTCAGGGTAGATAATGTCGGCGTTATCTATATACTATATCACAAGAAGCGAAAATCCCAAAACGCCGTGGGGTCAAGGATAGAAAAGATCGAAGAGCCAAAACAACTAGCATGGACATGCTGGGCCGATTTATGCGCTCATTACAGGGACTGGGTACTAACTAGACACAGCGGAAGTGGGAGGAAACAAAGGCGCCCTAGAGTCACACGTGCAACGGGTGCGGGGAAAAGAGTACATATTTTGGCGGATAGTTTAAGAGAGAAAGAGTTCAAGAGAGAAAGGGCAATGATAGGGTAACAACAAGAGATGGTATCTAGAAAACGGAAATGAAGTTTCCAATTCTCTCCTTCTGATTTTGGGCAATGCACTCGGCAATCCATGTGACGTTACGGATTTCCTGCGATCCATTGTTAATAGATGTTAGATTGGTCTGTGTGAAACGGTAACTCACCTGCTCCTTCAGTCTCATCCATGCGTATACCACAGCCGGGGTGAACTGCCTTGTGAAGACAACCTTGCTCAGCTCCATCTCCTTCTGGTAGAACAGGTCCTCCAGACTCTTTCCATCCGAGCCACCCATACCACCCAGGCCACCACCACCCTGCGTGAGACCAACAGCATCAAAGAACGCCTTGTAGTCCGCAGAAATGCTCACGGCCAGAGCCACAGATTCGATATCATCAGCGCGTGAGAGCATCAGCGATCCCTCTGGATACAGCTTGCCAAACTCTGGGTACAGCTTCTTCCGCTCTTGCTTCGACAGCTCCGTTCCAAATGAGTTCAGAGTGATGTTAATGGCACGGCGGTCTGCTTCGAATTGCAAGATCTCGGACATGACCTCTTGCGTGGGAGTGCCCCTGAAATCAGGGTGTGTGGTGACGAACTGGTGGAAGTCTTCCAAGTAGTTCTTGTAGAGCGTGTTGCGCACGATTTCAATATTCAGTTCATCCAGATCCTGATGGCTCAGACTGCTCTTGAAGTAACCGGCCAGCGGCGTCTCAACCAGCACAGAGTTGTAGAGTTCTTCGATGTTCGTGGCGACGCAAAGAACAGGCAGCGTCTCGAACCAGCCTAGGGGGTGGCATCGCTCGAGGAGCTCGCGAGTGTCACGTTCGTGCAGAGTACCGGTGATGAGCAGTGCGATGTTATCGATCATGTACCCGTACGTAAGGTATTGAAAGAATTTGGCGGTCGACCCCGTGGCCTGCGCGAGGAGGTAGCGGAACTCAGCGACCAGCTTATCCGTCATCTTGCCCGCAAGGGCAGAGGTAGAAGGGTTGGGAGGGAGGGAGGCGAGGAAGTCGCCATAGGCGGGGGCAAGCTGCAGCTTGACATCTGATAGAAGCAAGGTAATGTTAGAATTATCAAGGGAGTAAGAGAGCAGGTGCAGATCGACGGACCATCAATCGTCTCGCATTGGGTCAGGTTGGAGTAGTGTTGGCCGGTTAGGAGGCTGTTCCGATAACCACGGACAATACCCTCGATATAACTATGAACGTTCAATCAGCGACCTGAAGGGAAACCATTATAAATGCGACAGTGAAACAGACATACCCGCTGTTGACGTTGAAAAAAAGACCCTCCATGGTGGGCTAGCAGATGGGCAGAAGTCCAGATGTCCACTTACAAGCTCTCCGCAGTTGATAGACTGACGACCACTCGTCGACGCATCGGCATCCCGTGGGGCTTACATAATCTGAGCGCTGCACCAGCCACGGCGGCGGCACCACCAGCCACACTCGGATGGCGCTTTTCGCTTTTTTCACTTTTTAGTTTCTTGAGGTTAAAAAATATTCCCAGCGGATTTCAGTCCATCCCGTCCAGCACGCCAATTCCCTCCCACCCCCCGGCCTTTTCTTTTCCCTTCTCACCTCTAGCTGTTCCTCTGTCTTTTTTATTGCAGCTAGAAGTCGAGGCCGTGCACCATGACGCTCTTTATCCTTACGGAAACCAGTGCGGGCTATGCCCTGCTCAAGGCCAAGGACAAGAAGCTGTTGAAGAGAGATGATCTGGCTACTGAGGCTTCCACCGCAGAGGGTGTTTCTAACCTGTAAGTGCATTCCTATGCATTGTTTACTCAATTCACCCCCGATTATCTATTATCTGCGCGTGGTGCCTCAAAAGCAAAAATTTTCCCCCACTGCGTCTGGACCCCGGCTAACCGCCGCAATTGTAGTCTGAAGTTGAAGAGCTTCCAGAAGTTCGACAGCGCTGCTACCGCCCTGGAGGAGGTCGCTTCCCTCGTCGAAGGAAAGGTCACTCCTCGCCTGGCCAGCCTTTTGGACGAAGTCAAGGATGAGAAGAAGGTTTCTCTGGCTGTCGCCGACCCCAAGCTCGGTATGTGGCGCAAACTTGTGCGGAAAATTGAGGATAAAATTTTCGTGTGACTGACTGGAATTGATATAGGCAATGCCATTGGCAAGCTCCCCGGTCTCTCTATCGAGCTGGTGGCCGACTCTTCCACCACCGATGTTTTCCGTGCCATTCGTGAACACCTGCCCACCCTCATCCCCGGCCTTCTTCCTCAGGACATGTCCACCATGTCCCTTGGTCTGTCGCACTCTCTCGCTAGACACAAGCTGAAGTTCTCCCCCGACAAGATCGACACCATGATTGTGCAGGCCATTGGTCTGCTTGACGACTTGGACAAGGAGCTCAACAACTACGCCATGCGTGTGAAGGAATGGTACGGATGGCACTTCCCTGAGCTGGCGAAGATCCTGAACGACAACATCGCCTACGCCAGACTTGTCCTCAAGATGGGCATGCGCACCAACTGGGAGTCTTCCGATCTCGCTGAGATCCTCCCCGAGGAGATTGAGGGTGCCGTCAAGGCTGCTGCGGACCGCTCCATGGGTACCGAGATCAGCCAGGAGGATCTGGAACACATTCAAGCTCTGGCCGAGCAGGTCGTTGGCTTCGCTGAGTACCGTCAACAACTGGCTGGCTACCTTACTGCCCGTATGAACGCCATCGCCCCCAACCTGACTGCCCTCGTCGGTGATCTGGTCGGTGCCCGTCTTATCGCCCACGCTGGTAGCTTGACCAACCTGTCCAAGAGCCCCGCCAGTACTATCCAGATTCTGGGTGCCGAGAAGGCCCTGTTCCGTGCTCTCAAGACCAAGCACGACACTCCCAAGTACGGTCTGATCTACCACGCCTCCCTGATCGGCCAGGCCACCGGCAAGAACAAGGGTAAGATGGCCAGAGTTTTGGCTGCCAAGGCTTCCCTTGGTCTGCGTGTGGATGCTCTCGCTGAGTGGGACGACGATGCCACCGAGGAGGACAAGGCTGCTCTCGGTACGGAAGCCCGCTACAACCTCGAGCGCAAGCTTGCCGCCATGGAGGGCAAGCCCCTCAAGCCTCGTGGTGCTGCCATTGCCCCCAACGGCGCTCCTCAGGCCCAGAAGTTCGAGATCAACGAAGCCCGCAAATACAACGCCGATGCTGATGCTGTTACGGGCGACGAGCCCGCTTCCGCTAAGAAGAGCAAGAGCAAGAAGCTCGTAGAGGAGGTTCAGGACGAGGAGATGGCCGATGCTGACTCCGATGAGGAGTCTGACTCGTCCGACGAGGAGACCGACAAGAAGTCCAAGAAGAGCAAGGACTCTGAGCTCGAGAAGATGGCCGAGAAGGCCGGTCTGAGCCTCAAGCGGTACAAGCGCAAGCTTGAGCGTGGAGAAATCCAGTTCGACGCTGAGGGCAACCCCAGCGCAGTCAGCAAGAAGGACATCAAGAAGGCCAAGAAGGAGTCCAAGAAGTCGGCCAAGGGTGAGGAGAAGAAGCGCAAGCGGTCAGACGACGGCGAAGTCGACAACTCCGAGAAGAAAAAGAAGAAGAAGAAGAAGGGTGAGGAGTAAATTCGAATGAAGTCCTCAAACAAAAAAGTTTCACAATCAACACACCTGATGGGAATGCTTCAAATTTCTGTATGATATCACACCATGTGGGCCGAATTTCTTCTCTTTTTCCTCTTTTTCTCTCTATCTCTGTTGCTATTTTGCTTGAAGATTACATGTTTGGGTGGCATTTGATGGATGGATCTTACTATCATCCCCTGGCGCAGAGGTGCTTGTTGGTATAAGGCAGTTCAAGTTCCAGAAATAATGTTCTTTCTGAGTTGGATTTTCCCATGGTAGTAGTAATGTTTGTAGTTGCAATGGTTGATGTTATCTAGACCAGTCTATTGCAGCTAGACTTGTACTCTTTACTGATAAATGACCATGACTTACTGGCCCATATTCAACTACCACATAGTCAACTGTTCAGAGGATTGTTCCGGTCACATAGAGTAAAGGTCCCTTAGTAGCCTCTCTGATTCGAGGCCAGCATGGTTTTACAATTCCCCTTTTCTCACCTTTAGTATGCAATCATTCGAGTGCCTTCGAAGAAGGAACATGACTTCCTATTTCTCCTGCACAGCAAGCAAAGTAGGCGACTCCAAAAACACTAACTCCTACCTCTGACCCTCCTCACGTTGGACGAAGTCGCCTCATCTCTTTTCTCCATGTCTTCTTATATACGGAGCCAATTGAGTGCTGAAGACGCTACTACTGTCTATCTGTTCTACTCCAAGGGCTATCAGACGTAAATGAAGAAAGACAAGATACAAAGAATGACAATTCTCCATTGACTGATCATCATCATTATCGATCACATTAAGGTTATTCTATCTCATGAACTTAATTATACAGTGGAAGAAATTCATGCTACAGCTCGCAGGAGCTAGGCTCTATGAAACATGGTAACGATGTCAAATTCAGTGCAGAGCAAGGATCTTGGCAACAGCAGCCTCGGCAACAACCATGATAGTAGCCTGGATGTTACCGGTAGGAAGGTCAGGGTGGATACTGCCATCGACGATGAACTGTACGAGATAAAAGTTAGCAAGATGGGTCTCAAGAGTAGTGAGGAGCAGGGGCAGTGAGTGGGGGTGGGGATGTACATACGAGATTGTCTGTGCCATAGACCTTGGTGTTGAGGTCAACGACCGAGGTGCCGTTGTTGTAGCGGCCATCGTCCGTGCCAATCTTGGCCGAGGTGGTGTAGTGCATACCAGGGCTAACGCTGCCGAGGATAGCGGAGACGTTGGTGTAAGTCTCCAGCTGGAATCCGGTAGAGGGGGCGGTCAATTCCCCGACGATCTGCTGGAGGAAAGCAGTGGCGGCAGCGCGATCACCGGCAGTCGTGAGGTAGGGAGACTTGTCCCAGACGGTGGAGCCATCAGTGTCCAGGCCGAGCACACCGGAAGAGGTGAGACCGTGGGTCATGTAAGCGGTGATGGTGACTTCGTTGGTGTCGGAGGGAGCACAAGAGCCCTGGTAGTAACGCTTCTGGCCGTCGACGACGTTGGAGGTGAAGAAGATCATGCGGTGCTTTCCTTCGGTGAGGAGACCGCTGCCCTGGGCGTAGAGGCTGATGTCAGAGACATCGGAGCCGTTCACGATGGCGTCGTAGTCGGGAAGGCCATAGCTGGTGCCGTTGGTCTTCAAGATGATAGAGAAGATAGGGTGGTCCTTGGCACCGATACCGACGGGAAGGTTGATCCAGTCCTTCTTGGGGGGGACGATCACGCCGCTCTGCTGGGCGATCTCAATCTGAGAGCTGGGTCCGATGCCGGAGTTGAAGAGGATACGAGGAGTGGAGAGAGCACCGGCAGAGAGGACGACTCTTCCGTTGGAGCCCAGAGTGATGTTCTCGCGACGGCCGAAAGAGTTCTCGACCTCCACACCAGTCACCTGGCTGCCGGCGCGCAGGAGGCGAAGCACCTTGGTGCCGAGACGGAGGTTGAAGTTCTTGCTCTTCTCAGCCAAGGGCAGGTAGGTGCGGACGGGACCAGCACGCATCTGGTCCTTAATGTTCCAGGCAGGGTAGCTGTAAACCTCGTGCTTCTCGTTGGGCTCGGCAATCATGTCAACGGACTTCCAGCCGATCTTGTTGAAGAAGTTGGAGAGGACGGTGTAGAGACCCTGGTCGTAGCGCTTGCCATCAGCGGAGGGCAAGATGGTCCCGGGGTTGCGCTCATAGAGCCTGTCTGCAGCAGGCTTCACGTCGTCCCATTTCCATCCCTTGGGCCACTTATCGTTGAAGTCATGGTCCGGCGGGTGAACGAAAACCATGTAGTTCAAGGTCACACCACCACCCAGCACGCACCCGGCATAACCGGCGACATCAGAGCAGAGGTATTCCTCCCACTGAGGCAGGGCACCAATGTCGGCAGACAGTCCAGGCAGGTCAACCGCAGTCAAGGTCTTGTTCCAGACGAGGGTTTCGTTGGATCCAGTAGCCACGGTAGGTCCATAGCCTCTCTCCAACAGCAACACGGTCTTGTTGGCTTCGATCAAGCGTTCGGCAGTGATGATACCGGACGGTCCACCACCCACGATGATGTAGTCATACGAACTACCCTTCGGCGATGCGTGGACACGGGGAGAGGCCACGGCCCCAAGAGCAGAGCCAGTGGCAATGAGGCCTGCAAGCAGGTAGGATTTCATGGTGAGAATGTTTTTTGGGTGAGGATAGAGATTCTCATCCAGTCATAGTGAAACGGGCAGGTCCCTTTATATCTCCATAGGGTCCGCGAAGGTCCCGGAAAAACGCTTTTCTGGCACGCGCCGAGTTGCCTTCTTCGTTTCCACTTAGTCAAATACTTGGTAGCTCCTCAGGAAAATGAACCCGATCATGTCATAAGAGTAGCCAAATTGGCTCTTTTCCGCTAGCTCCGTACCAAATCCCTCCGATGTACTCGCAAGTCCCACTACCCAGGTCCCTCGATTACTCAGGTTCTGTCGCCTGAGTCTGTATGTCGAAGAATATTCTCGTTTCACTGGACCACCTCCCGATGACGATCGTTCCCTCATTTGCTGTTATCTGATCGTTGTAGATGCCATTATTGCACAGGCGAACCGATGAGGTGGGTAGGCGAAGACAACCAGCGGCGACATTGCCTTATCATTGGCAACCGAACTTTGGGTTCAGTGGATCCCGTGAAAGCGCCAGCCGCTTCTAGCGCGAAGAAGACGGATTTCAAAAGCCTGACAAAGCCAGGTTTCTAGGGGAGAGTGGATATGAGAGCCTTTGGTGCACAATATGGAAGTGGATATCTTAATTAAATTCGGTCGAAAAACTCGGCGGTTGAATAGGCGAAAACAGATGAGTGAGGGTTGACAAATGATTATTCACCTTCCAGGCTGGGTCTCGCTGTCCCACTCGCCAACTCGGTAGACATCTCTCTTCTGGAAGTTGGTTCAGGGTTCACGGCTCGCTTGCACCGGGCCGTACGGAGTTGATTTGTACAGCAATGGTTGTCGAGCACCCGAAAGAGGGCGGAATACACGGATGGTGGACAGACACAGGACTCATGATTCAAAGTCTATCGATTGACTTTTTTTCTGTCTAGCTTATCTGGACGTCTGCAGTCAGCTCTCTTGTGTCGACGCAGTCAGCCCTAACAATAGTGCCGGCGACTTTATGTTAAACAAGCTAGCCAGTAGCCTGGATCCTGCAAGAACAACATGCTGGTCTGGCTAAGCTTTTCTCCCTTATCTCGTGCATACTCACCTAGCCTAGTTTCAACTTGATGTGATGTGATGGTTCAACCGCCAATATTTGATAGACCATAGTTGAGAATGTATAGATAAGAGATGAAGTGGTTGCATTGCATTTACTGCCTGCAGGCACGTGCAGGTGTCTGCAGTAAGCCAGCCGCTGACCCCCTGCATATGGTATGTCCGCTATAGCATCATCATGGATCCGGTGTAATCCATCCTACCCCAATCCAGTTTGATCTCCGCGGTGTTTTCTGTGCTGCTCTAAATCCCAAAATGGATCCCAATGCGCTCTACATTGCGCTCTTCATTCGCGATGATCCTCCTAAGCCCAACGATTACCACTGGGCGCTCTACCACCACCGCATCAACAGCGGCATCAAGTACCATATCACCAACGAAGGCAACGGCTGAATTCCCGGACATGGGCCCGAATCAGGCACCGGCATCCTGAAAGCCTTCCTCCTTGTGGGTCTGATTCAGATTGCATCCATACCGTCCACTACCTCGGCGCAGGAGACTTTAGACCGTGTCTGCCGAAACTACGACGGACATCTGAACGACAACGAGAACAGAACATGCCGGACGTGGCTACTGGATGTATTGAGGGATCTACAGGAGCAGATGGGCGTGCTACATGGAGTTGACATCAAATCACTAGAGAAAGAAGCGATGGACTGGGGCAATCAGTACGCGTTCGAGGCCTGCCAAAACGTTCAACCCAGACCAGTGGGGAAGAGCATGTACATGGCGTGAGGCAATATATTTCCTAGTTCTAATCCTTATCTCATTCGAGAGACTTGATTAATTGCACCAATATCACTCTTTACTACATACAGTATGTATAACTACTCTCACCGCCCTCCCATCATTGCCCGGCAGAATCAGCCCAATTCCTTCTCCGCCCCGCATTCCAGCACTTTTTTTCCCGCGTCGCATTATCCACCTATCAATCGGCCAATATCACCCCAATCTGCACAATTAGACCATCACAATGAGGGTAAATTCTGATCCTATGGCCCTTGTCATAGAGTACCATACTAAATAGCGAAAAAAAAAAAACAGATCGTCGATCCCCAATCCGCCACCCTTACCAACATAGAGGTCCTGGCCTACCTAACGGCCAACCCTCCACGGCGACCACCGAACCCGCCGCCGAACTCAAGAAACTGGGTTCCCAGTCCGGATCTACGGGACCATAACACCGTTGTTAAGGAGGTGCGCATTCCCTTATTGAATTGAAATTCAAAACCTATGTTTTTTTCTCCGTCGAGTAGCTATACGGGGCTGGATACATTGCCCAGCTGGCTGGCTGGCTGGCTGGCTCATACCTAGCTGCGGAGTACACACTCTTTCTTGCAGCAAACATACATACATGCACACAAAACCAGAAAAGCTGACACTTAATCAAATAATTAGATACACAACTACGTCACCCGACTCTCCCCCCATCTCCTCAACTACCCCAAATACACGCATCTCACCCCCGCCCAAATACAAGCTCAGGCACAGTCGACCACAACAACAGCCATCCCACCATCCCAGATCAACGCCCCCACGCCGCTCGACCATGCGCTCCGGGAACTCGTCACCAGGTTACAGCCCTACGGGCTCACCAAGGGTGAGGTGCTGATGATCGTGAACCTGGGGGTGGGGTTACATGCACCCGCGACGGAAGGAGAGGATGGTGAAGAGGCGGGTGAGGGAGGAGAAGAAGAAGAAGAAGAGGAAGAATATGATGAGAACGCAGAGCAGCAAGTTAATGGTGGAGAGGATACGAATGGGATGATGGAGGTGGATGGGGCCGAGGAAGGACAGGGAGGGCAAGGGGAAATACCAGAGGAAGATTACGGGGCGTTGGCGCTGTTGGATACGGTTATTGAGGAGCGCGAGGAGAGATTGAGTAATGAGGATGTGAACAATGTTTTGGCGATTATTCGGGAGACGTTGGGGTCGGGGATGAAGGGATCGGAGGGGGAGGGGATAGATGAGGAGGGATAGAGTTTTCTTTGGTGCGGACGGTAACTACTACTATATATACCATGATACTATGGCTAACTGACTACCAGCCTTGTTCTGTTGGTAGTAGTTAATTCTAACGGTTGAGATTATTACGTGGCAAGTTATAGTACTAACGAATTGTAGCATATTCTATCTATTCTATACAGACCCTGGTATATAATGAAGTATCCCGTGGATACTCTCCGGCATCCCAACTCAAGAAGGAATATCATACAATAGAAACAATTAGCCCTTACGCCTGACTGCGATGAAACCAGCAAAGCAAGGAGGGTAAGGCCAAGCACATATGCAAAAGCATCACATCAGATCCACTTCGCTCAAAATCGAAAAGTCATGAACCCCAAACACCAGGTAGATATGCACGGCCATAACTGATGGCAAGTTCTTGCTGCGGTTTGCAGCTTCACAGTATGATGAAATATGCAGAATGAACAATGGGCCAAGCGTGTGGATAAATAGTAGGCCCACACCAGCCATGTCACCAAAGATAATTCGGCAGGCGGTGCTTTTTCTCGAGAGCCAGTCTCGGAGATAGATCACCAGATACCTGGCTTTTCTTTACCCTTGATGACGTTTCCGAATCGGTTGTAAACCGGCTCGTCAGCGTCTTCCCCACTTTCTTTGCCAAAGGGACCGAAGTCATCATCGAACAGCTCTTTGTCATAGCTTCCACAAACCTCAGTGTAGGCCAACCATTCGCCTTTATCGGTCCAGAGACCTCCCCTGCCACCGCGCATGTCCCACCACTCTTGTCCTCCCAAGAGGGAAGATTGGGCGGCGTCGAACCCATTCGGGGTACGCATGTACTTGCGGAGAAGGGCACGAGCCCATGGTTGATACCACATCTCTGACCACCACTTGTCGAGGACAGAATGATCCCCATTCACATGCAACAGGGCCGGTACAGATGCCGAGTGAATGTTGGTCATCAAGGGGAGGTTATGCCAAGTATGATTGCGCGGATTCGGAAGTTTGTCGAGTGTCTCATTGAAAGGCGGGCTCAGCCAATCATCCTTGCCGAATTTGGGCTGGATGAATGGGTTACCGATGGTCTCAGGTGTAATATCCGAGGGGATTAAGAGGCGTTTTTCTCTAGGGACGCCATGCTGCATCTGCACTGCCGAAGTCTTGGTGACGTTATTGTAGTGAAGCCATTCGACATCCATCTTGGCATTGCGCATGTTGAAAAACAGACGGGATTCATAGTCGACTCCAATGCCATATTCATAGCGGGTGCCAGACTCGAGGCGCGGTTGGGTAGCTCCCGTGATATTGGAAGCATCAGAGATGCCTATGAGTGTGTAGAGCCATTCCATGAATCCATTCGCAGAATCCCGCCTCTCGAGCTCCCGCACATATTCCTGTCGACCAAACATTTGCGTCAAAGCTAGGTAATCTCCCCGTGCATTGCGATGTTGATGCACGAACCGCAGAACCTCGGCGTATATCAACTTGAGATCAGCTGCCTGACCAACAACCGCGCCAGGCTTGAGCCAGCGCGGCCGATTCAGATGTCCCTGTGGGTGGATATCCGTCTTCCACCCATAAGCGTCCGGGGGGAGGCTGGATTCTGGGACTGTCACACACCCTGCATCCAGGGTGAGCCCGGGGAAACATTCTTTGCTCGCTGCAAACAAAACTCTCTGAGAGTATTTCTGTATCGTTTCCTGCGAGCCTGTACGGTACGGCCTGTCAACAGTCACGGTACCATATTTTCGGAGCAATTTTTCATTGTTCTCCCTGAGTAGATTTTGGAACCTCTGAATCAGGACCTCGGGGGGTAACTGGAAAAACACGTCCTGGGAATCAACAATAAGGACGAGATCTTCATCCTTTATTTGTGGGTTATACGCCAAATAATTGTATATGCCGGCTATGCGGTCCACCATGGCAGCGTAATCTGTGTACCCCGTTGGGGGCGACTTGCCATAGCTAATCAATGTGGGCGGTGGGTAGTTCAGTATCATCGACGACGTCAATGTGCGACAGAGTGAGGCGGACTTTTGCGATGCAGGTATAAGAAGGTGGAAAGACGGGGTTGACTTTTGCAGATTATGCGGAAGACTATCATTTCGGTGCAAAACATGACCCGGGGAAGTGAAGACCATCGGCAAGTCTTCGGGGCGCTCACGGGAGGGGGGATATGATGGGTATCTCAACCAGTAGCTAACATGTGGCTAGGAAAAGAGGCACTTCGTCAGTACCACTTCATTGAGACAGTAGATCGCATAATAAACATACTTGACTAGACCGCGACAACAACAGCAGCGTGAAGAAGCATGTGGCGGCCAGAATCATCAGCGTTCTAACGGGACGAGCTCTTAGACGGCGAGGATGGAACTGTTGCTGCCATAGCATCGTCATTGACGAGCGCGCCGTGTGATAATGATCGGCCCATGGGCCGTCTAGGATGCCCTGGAATGACATCCTGAAAGCAGTGGGAAGTGGAAACTTTGCTTAGACACTAGATTAGAGTACCGCTGCTCAGCAGCGGTGGACGGACGATCCGAACTGAACGTCAGCTCGTGCTCAGTAGACAAGAACCGCTGGGTTTAGCCAAATGTAGAAGAGGGTCTTCCCAACGATAAGCATTCCTGCGAGCGGGACATGCGATCAGGAAGAGCAGCGAAGCTGACGGGGGGGGATATCGGATTAAGAGAAATCAATGGGGTTGCTAGGCGCCATGCTGAGGCAGAAAGGACAACAGTCAATGGTGACGACAGCAACAAGATGAAGAAGGAGAAGAAGCCAGTGTCGGGGAAGAGATCCATGCCACGCGGACACAAAACGCGAAGAGGAGGAGGGAAAGTAGTTCAAGGTCGACCCGGGCGGAAGACCACTTCAGCAACAGAAAAGTGACCGATTTGGGTGAGGATTTACGTCGGCGTGTGGAACCGGGCCAGGGACTGGGGGAAAGTAGCTGTCCGGCCATTGGCCTGCCCTCCTCTTTACTTTCTGCGGATTTCAATCAACTGGATGGATCATGAATAATGGACTCCCCTCGCTTTTCCCCTTTGGTTCCCGGCCCTGGCCTCCGTCGGTATTTGCGATGTGCGAGTATCGCTCCCTGCACACCCGTTGATGTCCCACCGCATCTTTGTTTCTTTTTCCTTTTTTCTTTTCTTCCCCTGTTCTGCAGTAACTTTTTCGGTCTCTAGCCGGGCCACGAAAGCTTATCTCCTTGTGAGATCAGTAGAATCCATCCTCAGGTGCACCTCCCCCTCCGTGAAGTTGTTCGCCTCAGCCCAGGAAAGTCGGTTACTCAGCGGGAAACGCCATCGTTGGATCTGGCCGCGTCATCGAGACTGCACATCCCATACTGCCCGTGCCCTCCCAGTTCTTGGCACGAATTGAATGGTGGTTTCAGATTGCTTGCCCATTAGTCCATCGCCGACCCTATGTTCGGCCTACGTTGAGAACTGACGTCTCCCTATGCATGACTCCACATTGCCCATTCTACTTTGGACCTAGATTCCCCCGTCCATAACAAGCCATGCAGCCCGGACGAGTGCCGTCTCAAATCGTGCCCCATCTACGGCTTTGGATTGCATGAATTGAACAGACGATTACGAAGCAGGCGCTTCGACTAGCCACTTTGTAGTTTCGAGGGCGTCTGATAGACGGTAGTAGTATGAACTGCATGAACCCCAGGCCCGTTGAGCCGGTTAGCTACTACCGAATCTTTATGGGAAAAGCCCGCCTATCAAATAATTTTCCGGGGCTGAGGAAAAAGCGCACGGTACTATAGTAGACACACAGAAGCACATTGGCGGCAATCCTTATGTACAATGCCAACGCCGCCATAATGCAATCAATGGCCCAGAACAAATCACCAATACAACAATATAGACATTTCGAAGACCAATGGCTCATTCCAGGTATATCTCTTCTCGCAGCCGTTGCAAATTGCGGAAGATGCCACCCCCCGGGCCTTCGCTTTCTTGCCGCCGATGACCCGTTGTTGGTCCCTTCGTAGACGATCCGGACGGCTGCTGGGACTGGTCGGATCGGCCCTGATTGTCTAGGGCCTTGCGACGGTCCTCCACGATCTTAGCCAGGCTGTCTACGAACCGGGTCCGGGCCTTCTCCTCCGCAGTGCCCTTCCAGACAAGTGCCAATGTACGTAGTGACTCAACACGGCGCGAGGCAGCTTCAACCCCCTCCTGCCCGCCACCGTTGCTATCTAAAAGCTCCGTTACTTCCTTTCGCAGCTTCTTAGCCACCTCTTGGCCCTTCTCCTCGCGACTGTGGCTCTCAGGCCCCGGTTCCGGCGCCGACACCGATATAAAAGATGATGTTATAGACGTCTCCGATGGCGGGAGGGGCCATTCCATGGCATCTCCGAAGGTCTGCACCACTTCTTCCAGTCGTGCCCGGACTTGGTTCAACGTTCGTAGCTTGGTGATATATTCAGGATCCTGCACTGTGATTGTCTCCGCTCGCTCTCCCTGTTCTCCAATATCTTCCGATTCCTCCGCCCCGGCGATCTTGTCATTGTCCGCAGCGCCCGGGACAAATCTCTCAATGTCACTCCGTAGTGCGTCCGTCAACGTGTCCGAAAGTCCAATAGTCTCTCCACGCAGCAATTCAACTTCATAAGCTAATCGACCTCCGCTTCGTAGAATCTCATCGGTGAGTTGTGTAAGGGCTGTGGAATGTCGAGCATTCTGCGCGTTTATTTGTGAAAGGACGGACTGGACTTGTGTCGACAGTTCGGGCAGGGAAGAGGCCCCCGCAGGACCCCGCGAGAGGTTGGTTTGAGATGACGCCAGCGTCAGCGCAGGAAGAGCATTGTTGAGGTACTCGGCAGGATCAAAGGACTGGTCAGTGAAGTCCGGTGTCATCTCGAGTGACGGGCGTGAGCTTGGTACTTTCGCAGCTGTAGGAGCCGGGCTGGGAGTCGGCGAAGGAGCCATTGTTTCGACGACAGTCTTCTTGATCCGGGGGGTGGATGGGCAATTACGCCCTGTTTCAGCGCT